GCCTCATCTTTCTCCCGCGGAGCGGCTGGTAGTTTCGAACTGCTGACCTTAAGGTTCACAGCCCGATTCGTAACCACTACGCTACCAGAGCTCCTAAGTAAAGAAATAGTTCCTTTTATATTTTACCCCTATAGAACCTGGTTATATAGCCACAATTTCAATCTATAAACTAAAACTGAAAATATCAATATTTAATGAACTATACTGGAGTCCTAAGGAGCTCTGGTAGCATAGTGGTTATGAGTCGGGCTGCTAATCTCAAGGTCAGCAGTTCGAAACTACCAGCCGTTCCGTGGGAGAAAGATGAGGCGTTCTGCTCCCGTAAAGATTTACAGCCTCGGAAACTCTGTGCAGGGTCACTATGAGTCGGAACCGACTCCACGGCACATAACAACAACAACAACATATTAGAATCATGGTGTGGTGCTATAAGATAAGCACTGCACTGCAAGGTTGGTTTGATCCACAAGGCTGCTGGTTCAAACACAACAATCACTTCTTGGAAACGCAATACAGGGTCACTATGAGTCAGAACCAATGCTTCAGCACTAAACAATAACAACATAATTATATATTAGTAAATAGTGTGATTGATCAAACTCCAGTTATTACTCAATATATTGTGCTATGTTGTGATGTAGACTTGGTAGCATGTTCTTTAAACAAATTAAGCCAGAAATTCCAATTTCTTTCTTCAGTGTAAATAGTTTTTTCACTAGAAAGTGTTGGAGTAAATTTTTCTGTTTGGATTAAAACATTTTATATGCAAAACATGTTATATCCTTTTGAAATCCAAAGCTCTAAAATACAAAGAACTTAGGAGGAGAGTCGGGGAAAGTTCCAAATCTGAGCAGTATGGAACTTCAGAAACATTGCAATCTCAGTCTTAACATTTGACATGACATCTTTTTTGACTTTTTATAAACACACAGGGATTATGTATTTGGAAATAATTTTCTGAGCAATTAAATTCTAATGTTGTATGTTTTAAATTGTCATTAAGAGTTTTTAAATAGGCAGAAGTCAGCTCGAAATTCTATGACATATTGCCCTTTTTGTTTTTGTCATATTCCAGTACCACTTTTGTTTAGTGTTTGAGAAATAATGTTTTGATATAACTGAGGAGAGAAGAAGAAGGAAAGACCTATTTTCTGTAAGATTTCCAGAATCATCATGAAATGCCCTGTGGCATAAAGACAATTTAATAGGTCGCATTTCCTTGAACAGAACTCCTTTAAGTGGGTTGGAATAGGTAAATTTTACAGCAAGCAATATTGAATTCCTGTTTCATTTTGACTGAAATAAACAGAAACTTCTGAAAACTGTAACCTAACTCTTTCCTTCTTAAACATTCCAGGACTTAGTGTACAAGGACCCAGCCAGGCCCAACATCCAGCAAGTGTGCACCTTCAAGGAGCTGGTGTATGAGACAGTGAGAGTGCCCGGCTGTGCTTCCCATGCAGACTCCCTGTACACGTACCCAGTGGCCACTGAATGTCACTGTGGCCAGTGTGACAGTAACAACACTGACTGCACCGTGCGAGGCCTGGGGCCCAGCTACTGCTCCTTCAGTGACATGAACGAGTAAACACAGTGGACTTCTCAGGCTGCCTACCCTGACCCCCTCGAGGATCACCACAGCCAACAAGTCCACGTGTGTACAATGGCCCAGGCTGCAAACCACTGAGGGCATGGGGGTCATCAGATCCCACAGAGATGTGCTCTCCTGGCAGCAGTTGGGGCTCCAGGAATTCACAGCATTGAGGCCAAGATCCTGTCACCACTCAACCCTGTATTTCCAGGTCCAGCTCCAAAAGTTTATTCTGTCTTAACTCACAGTCTCTTTGGCACTTTCCTGTTTAATCACCTTCCAAGCATTCTAATGCAACTTTTCCTCTTAGAGATGGGGATGCTGAGAGCCCAGGAAGGAAATGACAAATGAGTCATTTTAATTATAGAAAGATAAGCAAGTAGACATTAATGTTTGTTTGTTTTTTACATAGAGGAACTACAATAGTCTCAAAAAGTTATTGCCATAATTGAGGCCATGTTTTTGCCTCAATGCGGTAAAAGAACCAATGCAGCAGAATCACAGTCTCCTGCTAGACTTCTGAGCTCTCAAGAGCCTGGGTGGCATTTTCTTCATGATTGAAGTCTCAGTGTCTAGCACTGTAACTGGAATTTAGTCAGAAATTCATTCATGGTTTCTGTAAAGAAAGAAATATCAGAAATGAGATTGTTGTTGTTAAGTGCCGTCGAGTTGGTTCTGACTCATAGAAACCCTGGTCAGGATTTCCAAGGAGCAGCTGGTGAGTTTGAACCACTTATGGTTCAGGAAACAGCAGAAAGAGGAGGTTTGAAAGACCTGATGAGGCTGTCTCCAGCAATGTCAGTCTATTGAAGTTGTGACATCAGTTCTACCTGTTTTGTCCTTCTGTGGCACATGGAATGCTTAGTATGCATTTCTCTAATTGTGTGTGAGGGGGAGGAGGTGACTGGGTACCCAGAGCACAGGATTTCAAAGCTACCTTAGTACTACCAAGTCCTTGTGTGGCGCTGTGGACTGCATTGGACTGCAAGGTCGATTTGAACTTCAAGTTCTGTGGTTCAAACTCCCCAGCTGCTCCTCTGAAACCCTATAAAGGGTCGCTATGAGTTGGAGTCAAAACTGATTGGACAGCACTTAACAACAACACTACCAAGTCCAGAGGTTTTTCTTAAGGTTTTAGTTAAGGATAAAGATGGGAAATATTAATTTGGACCTGTGAAATTAGCCCACACCAATTCCGTCACTTAAATACTATCAGACTTCTGAGGAATAGCTAAAGAATTAGCCATAAGGAAAAATAACTTCTCTGTATTCTAGGATTCTTTCTACCAGTCTTTGTCTTTTGTCTTTCCTCATTCCCCCAGAGCTGTGATTTGTTTCAAGAATGAAAATACTACATGCTTGATTTCTTTTAAAGATGTTAACGCCCTTAGTTATGTACTTGTTTCACATTCATTTTGTTTAATTTATTTAAATCTTATTTTTTTAATAAACATGTTAGCCAACAGTCATAGATTTTGATTGTTTTGCATATAAGTAAATGACTCATATGTGTGCATATTTATTAGAATAAAATCTAAAATATACCTCCTAATGGTTCTGTAACTATTGCCTCTCCTCACCTTTGGAAATATTTTCACAAAAACCGTTGTATTCCTAAAAACACTTTATTTATATTTCTTAACATTTAAAACATTTGTTCTGCTACAGTAGCAACCGTCTCCATGGCCCATAACCACCACCTCCAGAACTTAGCAACGCCAGCACCTAGAATCATATTGTGGGTGGGAACATTGGAAGCTATCTAGTGTATTTTTCAAACTTTGAGATACAAATGTTGAGGGCCCCAGATATTCAGTGACCTACCCCAGATCACAGAGATTTTTCATGGCAGAACCAGGATTCGAACCCTGAAACCGTAGCTCTGAGCTCAGCTCTCCTTTGACTCCTTTGCCAGGAGATATTTTCTCAAGGTTAGAAGCAACATTGTAGGTAGTGATGATCAGCTGTATCAATCCAAATCTGGCATTAGGTAAAGAGCTCTGTTAGCGTAAAGAAGCTCTGTTAGTGTAGTGGTTATGAATCAGGCTGCGAACCACAAGGTCAGCAGTTCGAAACTATCAGCTGTTCCGCGGGAGAAAGATAAGGCTTTCTGCTCCCATAAAGATTTATGGCCTCGGAAACCCTGTACAGGGTTGCTATGGGTCAGAACCGACTTGATGGCACTTAACAACAACAACAACAACAACATATCTATATTCTCTACAATAGTTTGACACACTGAAATTATTTATTTGCCATTAAGTTTATTTCAATTCATGGCAACTGTGTGTGCAGAGTAGATAGGTGCTCCATAGGTTTTCCAAGACTGTGGACCTTTCAGAAGCAGAAAGCCAGTCTCTTCTTCCTAGATGGCTTTGGGTGGGATCAAACCACCAACCTTCCCATTAGTGTCCAAGAGTTGAATGAGTTGGGCCACCAGGGAACTCTTACATTGAAATTGTCATTGTATGGCCTTGTTTTAGCCAACTCGTTCTGCTATAGTAGAAATAACACAAGTGGGTGCTTCTAACAAACAATTCTATTCCCTCACAGTTTGTTGTTGTTGCTGTTAATGTACCATGGAATCAGTCCCAACTCCTAGCGACCCTGTACAGGGTTTCCGAAGCTGTAAATCTTTATGGGAACAGAAAGCCTCATCTTTCTCCCACTGAACAGCTGGTAGTTTCGAACTGTTGACCCTGAGGTTAGCAGCCCAATTCATAGCCACTACAGTACCAGAGCTCCTTAGGAGACTAGAAGTCCAAGTTCAGGGGACCAACTCTGCAGGAAGGTTTTCTTTCTCTTTTGACTCTGGGAGAGAGCCTTGTCTTCATTCCTTAGAGATTCCATGTGGCATAGCATCAATCTTCCCAATCTCTGCTTCCTCCCTTCCTTGCTTAATCTGCTCTTTGATTTCTCAAAAGAGACTGATTTGAAATATATCCCATCCTAATATTCCCTCATTAAAATGACAAAATAACCCCATTCCCAAACAGGATTATAACCACAGGTATGTTGTTGCTAATATTGAGTCAGTTCTGACTCAGAGACCCGTACAGGGTTTCCAAGGCTGCAAATCTTTACAGCAGCAGAAAGCTTCATCTTTCTACTGAGGAACAGCTGGTGAGCTCAAACCACCAACCTTGTAGTTAGCATCCAGTGCTTATCCTACCCAGTCACTGTGCTCCCTAACCACAGGAATAGGGGTTAGGATTTACAGCACATATTTTCAGGGAGACAATTCAATCCATAATAGTTATAGATTAAATTCCAAATTACAGTGACCCCATAGGGTTTCCTAAATTGTAACAGCTATGGAACAGAGTTCTGGTGGTGCAGTGGTTAAAGTATTATGCTGCTAACTGAAAAGTCAGTGGTTTGAACTCACCAGTTGCTCCATGGTAGAAATTTGACTGTCTGCTGTCAGCCTTGGGAATCTTTGAGCACATCTACTCTCTCTTACTGTTGTTAAATGCTGTGGAGTTGGTTCTGACTTATAGCAACCCTGTATAGGGTTTCCAAGGTATAGTTCATGCGTTGGAACCACCAACTTTGGGGTTAGCAGTCTAGTGCTAATCCTACAGCACCACAACAAGACTCTACTCTATACAGGGTGAGTATGTGTTGGAACTAACTCCAAGACACTTTACGACAACAACTCTGTCCTAGAGAGTCACTATAAGTCAAAATTGGCTCAAGAGCAATGAGCTTGTTTTTGTTTTTAAATTATTTTTGTGGGAAATGATTGCTACCTCATTTCTCCCATGTAGCCACTGGTGGGCTGCCAGCCTTCAAGTTAGAAGGCAAGAGATTAAGCATTGTGCTAGTAGGGCTTCGATGATGAAACTAGGGCTACAAACATAACCTATAATAATGAGATGAGAAGATAAAAAGGTAATCAGAAGTCAGACCATGGCAGGTCTCACATGTGGGGATTAGGGTTTTTCCTGGATAGCATGGCCATAGTTGTTGATCAAAGGATAATCCACAATCCAAATTCACAAACCAAATCTACGCCATCACCTATTTTTGTAAATAAAATTTACATCCACATCCATTTTTTAACTTATTTCTATGGGTGATACTAAAGGTTCATTCTTTCTGCTGCTAACCAAAAAGTTAAAGGTTAGAGTCCATCCAGAGATAACGTAAAAAAAGGCTTGGTGACGTACTACTGGAAAATCACCCATGGACAATCCTGCAGAACATAGTTCTGTTCTAACATATATGAGGTATCTATGAGTCATAACTGACTCAACAGCACTAGTTTTAGGACTGTTTATGTATGGCTGCTTATTCGGAGTCCTGGTGTGGCACTGTGGGCTAATGTGTCAGACTGCAAAGTTGTTTGAACTTCAAGATCGGTGGTTCAAGCTCACCAGCTGCTCCTTAGAAACCCTATACAGGGTCACTATGGGTCGGAATCGACTCGACAGCACTTAACAACAACATTCTTGGTGTGACACCATAGGATCAGCACTGGACTGCAAACCACTAGGTCAGCAGTTCAAACCCACCAGCTGCTCCTTGAGAACTCTATACCAGGTGGTTACGAGTTGGAACTGACTTGAGAGCACATAACAACAATGACAATGCCCTATAAGGACTCCTGGTGTGGTGCTGTAGGGTCACCACAAGATTGACTGTTAAAATCCACCAGCTGCTCCTTAGGAATCCTAGAAATCCCGACCGACTCAATGACACTTCACAACAAAATCAGTTCCCTGGAATTAGTCCTGCTGTGGCACTGTAGTATAAGTGCAGGACCACAAGATTGGTTTGAACCAAAAAATCAAGGGTTCATACTCACCAATCACTCCTTGGAAACCCTATATTGGGTCTGAACAAATCAGAACTGACTCAATGGCACTTAATAACAACAACGTACCCTGTAAAAAGGCCAGGTTGGTGGTTTCAAACTCACCAGCTGTTCCTAGGAAACTCTATACAAGGCCATTGTGAGTCAGAACCAATTCAATGGCATTTAACAACAAACA